AGAGTGTGGGGCCATCCAGCCAAGCTCCCAGTACCCATGCAGCTGCTAGAGACTGTGGTGGGCAGGGTCCGCAGGCAGCCCTGGGGCATCTCAGGGCTCCCGTCCCTCATCAGCCTCCTCTGAGTCCAGCAATGGCCTCGGGTCCTGAAAAGCYGAAGAGGGAGCGTGCCCTGTGTCCTGGCAGCAGGAGGAGGCCAAGATGGAGACACAGAGGCCGACGTCTGTCTAGAACCCCGAGGGCTGAGAGGGGAAAGGATGAGGAAGCCCAAAACAGCAAGAGTTAGCAGACGGTCTGCGTTGACAGTGGCTTGCTGCCAAGTTAGAATCAGAGTGGATCTGGGGGCTCAGTGGGGGAGCCTTGCTCAGGCACCCCAGCACCCCCTGGGGTTCCACCAGCGAGTCCCTTCCTCCCGGTGGCCAGTCACCCGCCCCCATRTAGATCCAGCCCTGTCCTAGTGTAAAGCCCCCAGGGGCTCCCCAGGGCCCAGGATGAACCCTGACCTCTCAGCACGGCCTCACACTGTCTCTCCTCAAAGCCACCCTACCCCCAGCCACGCTGCTGTCAAGCCACAGCATTGACCGTGGGTTCCCGACACCTAACAGCGCAGGATGCTGTGTCCTGCCCGTGGTGCGTGTGCGTAGGATGCACGGGTGATGACCGTCCCTCAGCATATTGGCTCCTCTCCTTTCAGCTCTGAAATGCAGGGAAGGGCACAGGCCCGGGCACAGGGAACTTCCTGCATGGCTGTGCCCAGACCTGCCCAGTGGGCTCTGGAGTCGCCCAGAAGCTGCTTGGGCCTTCGACCACTCCCCAGCTCTGTCCCCTGCGGAGGATCTGGCCACGGCTCTTGCTGGTCTTCTTGCTGTTCCAGGATCTCCTCTGTAAGTGGCAGGAACTAGGACCCAGCCCCTTGGTCTCCCCACCATGGTTGGATGGAACCAAGTGGGCAGCCCTTTGGTCAGAAGACAAAAGTCACTTTAGCTACAAAGGATGGATGACACTCTGGCCACAGACTCAGTCTCACACTGAAAAACCAGCCTCTACCTCAGAGCAAAGCCCGTCCCAGGAAGGGACATGACCTTCGTTCCTTGGAAAGACCCACAGAGCACTCCTAGGCACATTCCCACCCTGCTAAGTGGTTTATCTACAAGTAACAGGAGAGGTCTGCTGCGCCAGGTGTCCCTGACTCAGTCAGGCTAGGTGGGGATCCATAGCAGCCCCCTGCTGAGGGCCATTGCCAAGTAGGTATGACGCATCGTAATCCTTGCCAGCGTACCCCATGTTAAATGGACTTGCCTTGGAAATTTGCTGCGACCTTGCATGTGTGTTTGAGAAAGATGACCCTGCTCA